AATATAAGTTGAGGAAGAAAATGTAATTAAAGGCAAAACTAAATAAAATGTTCTTAAAAATAGAAACAATGTTCACATAGCCAGAGAAAAGTGTGCTCGACAGAAAACAAGGTGAGATCAGGGAAGAGTGTCTTCACATGCATTCATTGCAATCAAGACTGTCACTCTCGTGTGAACTTGTACACCCATAACAGCTGGTGGTGGTAGTGCAGCATCTGACACATGGTTCTTTGGATGCAGATCCAAGGTTTCTCAATACAAAAGGATGCCACACACATGATGCTCACATACAAAAGGGATACAGTCAAGTGTTTATCACCTTCTAATTTCAAGGCAATAAAGAAAAAACAAATGTGTGGTAAAACTGAGAATTGGCAATTTTTGTTGGCAAAGAAGTAATCCTAACATGCATCTGGAGGATTTGTATATAGCAGGGTTGGCCAAACTATGGCTCACGAGCCACATGTGATTCTTCATCCTTCAATATGCAGCTTGTGGAAATATGTTGGTTTAGTTCCTTTTTTTTTATCACAGTTAATATAAAAGGTAAATAAGAAAAATTTCAAGCTTTATAATTATTTACTGGGTATCAATAGAGACCCCATTGGATTCAAAAATAAATTTAATGTTCATGATTAGTAAAAATATTTAAGAATTTAAAACAAGATATTTACTAAGACAAATAAATATTAAAAATCTTTTTTTTTTTTTTTTTTTCCTTTTTAGTGTTATTTTTGGCAGTTTAATTTTATGTTACTGAAATGCAAATTTGCACGTTTTTCCCTAGAAGTTCTCATAGTTCATTACCATATTAAATATGCTCAAAACAATAATCAGTCAAGATTTTGAAAACATTTGGTGTATATATATATATATATATTCTCTTGAAAATATATTTCAGTTGAGCACTGTTGAGTGATAAGCTAATTCTATAAACAACAGCCAACTGCGTTAATGCAAAGCTCTTCAGTAAAATGAATCGGATCACTCCGGCTGATTGGCATTTCTTCTCATTCGTAAAAACAATACGCTAGATTTAGTTGTTTCTCTCTGTCGAATGAAGATAGCTTAGTGGTAGAAACTCTGACTGATCGGTTAGGTTTCGATCCGGGCTTGAAGTATTTGGATGTCTGCAAATGACATATATATATATATATATATATATGTGAAATGGACTAAGTCCAACAATTATTTTTATATATTTTTTGTTTATACATTATTTTTATAGATACAAATATTTAAGTAAATGCTCTGTTTATAATAAACAGTATTAACAATAATTAATGGCTTGAATGTCAGAAATCTCAAAGAAAATATGTGTCCTCCAATGAGAACCAAACCTGTATCCTACATGGAACCATCATATAGCCTGACATGCTATACCATTTAGCTTCTTCATTTGAATCCTCCTCTGCATTTACTTATTTATTTAAATATTTGTATCTATAAAAAAAATGAACTCCCAAATTCAGTAACAAGATTTTGGACAATCAACGCCAACTGTGGAATTCCTTTCTTCCCTGATAACGACAATCTCCAAAAATTTAAATGCAATGTCACTCGCAATCTTCTGTCTTCTTGAATCCTGCTCATCTTTTGTCCTTTCCTCAGTCCTTCCTATAAGCAGTCTTCTCTTTCACTTTCATAAACCTCTGCATACTAGTGGCATTTTCAACTTGCTTGGGATGAAATGCTTTTAAAATCACACACACACATGGTTAATGGTCAGAGTTGAATTCGACCTCCTAATCTGACCTCCTAATTTTTAAAGTTTTTATATATATATATATATATATATATATATATATATATATCTTCAAGGTATTCAAGCATGAAACAGACTGTCACCACTCAGTACTGAGTTCAGTGTTAACTTTTATATTTACATATGCCCTATCCTTGATACTGCACATTTTTACCCATAAATATAGCATATATAAACTATATTTTTATCATATATATATATATATGTAAGTAAATAGAGAATAAGAAAAAAGTATTTGTGAAAAGGGGGAAAAAAGAAAAGCTGCAAGAGAGAGAGAAAAAAAGGAAGAGGAAGGACTGATAAGAAGAGACAAGAGAAAAATGAAAAGGAAAGAGAAAAAAGAAAGAAGGACTGGAAAGTGAACAGATTAAAAAGAAGATGAAAGAAAAAAGAAGGACTGATAAGAAAAGAATAGATTAAAAAGAGGAAGAAAGAAAGAAGAGGGAAAAAGGAAGGTAGCCTGAAAAGAATAGAATAGATTAAAAAGAAGAGGAAAGAAAAAAGGGAAAAAAGTAAGGCTGACTGAAAAGAAGGGAATAGATTAAAAAGAAGAGGAAAGAAAAGGAAGGAAAAAAGGAAGAAGGACTGAAAAGAAACAAGATAAAAGAAATCAAATTCTAATAAAATATAAAAACAAACAAATGAAGAGATCAAAAGAAAAAGGAGTGATAAAAAAAATAAAATGTTATACAAATTAAAATATAGGCAAGAATAAAGAGAATCAGTGAAGGGTAGTGTTCCCTCACCGTGGAGCAGCTATAAATATAATGATTTTATCATGGAGGGAAAGCCAAACTTGCTTGATATATGAGTCACATAGAATAAATTTATGTTGTTTGAGGGCCACAAGATATAAGCAAAATTTATGCAAGTTTTTGTTGCTCGATACATATTTTGTTATAAAAATCCATACAGCAATAATATAGATTGTGTGTAGCAAAAAACAAAATCTGATTGGCCAGGATATTTTGGAGGATAACGCTTTTAAGGCAAGCAGTCTTTGTAATTGAAGTGCTTAATATCAAGAGACGGAGCACTGATACTAACAAATAAAATGAAATACAATGAAGGGAGTAATTATTATTTCACACTCACCACAGAGGAACTCTGTTAGATTATTTTGCCCTAGACATACCACTGATGTTATAGCTGCAGTACACATGGTACCCCTATGAACCTAATGGGTTATTGGAAGGACTGGAAAGAGAACAAATTAAAAAGAAGGTGAAAGAAAAAAAGTAAAAGAAGGACTGAAAAGAATAGAATAGATTAAAAAGAAGAGGAAAGAAAAAGGAAGGAAGAAGGACTGAAAAGAATAGATTAAAAAGAAGAGGAAAGAAAAAAAGAGAGAAAAAAGAAGGTAGCCTGAATAGAATAGATTAAACATGATGTAATGATTTTCCATTTATAAAAATTTACTTTCCATCCGATACAAGGATTGAACTCACTATAGTAACACACTATAACAGTTCCTATAGCCACTACACCACTGTCCCCAATAGGAATTAATAGTGTGTTTTGAGAGCCATTTATATTTACTGTCAGATGATTTTTGACGTTTTGTTATGATGCCTGATCTGTAAACATGTGTCTGTTGAGAAAGGGATTTTAGAGTGGAAAATAATTATTCTTCTACAAGGTCATGTGAAGGTGGAAATCAGAAAAACAAGTAGGCCATCTTAGATTACAAGATATTGTCTTAAGTTTGACAACTTAATATTCTTATCAGTGGGTATATCAGGAAATTGGAAGTAAGGTGATGTGCATTTCTGGTACCAATTGTCATAAATTGCACTGATTAAAATCTGAAATACTTATTCTCTTATGAAACTAACTGTCGCCACTTAGTGTTGATCTCAGTGTCCACACTTGTGTGCGTGTGTGAAATGAGAACAAATAGAATCCAATTAAAAAGAGGGCTCAATACAAAAGTTGAGCAATATTCTTTATTTTAGGATATTACATCAAAAACATGTAAAAACGCTACACAAATGAAATCATGTTTCGATGTGCACTAACACATCTCATCAGGTGTTAGTAAATAACTGGTGAGTAGACAATTTCAATATATATATATATATATATATATATATACTGATGTATAAATGTAGGTAAATAAAGAAGAAGAAAAAAGTATCTGTGAAAAAGGGGAAAAAAGAAAAACTGTAAGAAAGAGAGAGAGAGAGAAAAAAAGAAGGTAGAAAAAGATTAATAAGAAGATAAACAGAGAAAATGAAAAAAAAACATTATAAAATAGATAAAACAAACAAAAGAGGAAAGAAAAAGAACAGAAAAAAAGAGATGAAAAGAATATCCAAAAATCTTAATTTTGGTTGTGCACTCTTGGAAGAAAAGTGCGAATTTGTAAACAATGACTATTACTACTGATATTACAAAGCCCTTCCCTGCATTGAGTAATGTCAGTTATTGTTGTGTTTATTCGCGGAGTAAGTACGTAAAAATTCGCCTTTCTTTCAACCAGGCTCTCATAGCTCATGGAAAATCTCTAACTGATACTAAATCAATTGTCTGATGATCACAAAGGGTGTGAAACTCAGGCTTGCCAAGGCTCTTGTATTTTTTTTATAGGAATACCTTTGGAAGAGGTATAAATCCATCACTTTTTTCTCTAGCTATAGTTAAACAGCAGAACAGATTGGGCTCTTTAGTCTTGATTGGCAACCAGTCTAAGAGAATGACCATTCTGAATTCAAAACTACTTGGATGTAGGGTTTGCAACTTCACCCCATAAAAGCCTATTTGCTATAGAAACCATACCAGCAACATGATAAGGCTGCAGTCCAATACTTCACATGTGAACCCATAGTAGATAATAAACATACAATACACAATGTTATTTTTTATAATTTTTTTTAGTATTTTTGTAACTACTATGTTAGAAGCAGAATTTTTCTGAATTAATCTGAAATTTTACTATTTATTTAATGATCATGTACATAGAATGATGAGTATAATGATAAAAAATATCAAAAGAATTAACTAAATTATGTTTTCTTAATCAAATATCGGTGACCTACAAACATATTTTTCGAAGTTATCTCCATCCTTTGCGTCTTTAAATTGTCTAATGGACAAGTATTTCCTTAGCATTAATTGTAGTGATTAGAGTGATCCGTAGATACGAAACGGTTATTGTACGAAATGTTTGCGAATGGACCATAGGTCAGATTGGCCAATCAGAATCGCCCACGTTTCTACACGTAATATATGAAACATGGCGCTCTCCTGTGCATGTCTTCTCCGGTAAGTCTTTTACCGAACTTCCCCCATGTTTTGCAGTTTTTCTCTTAATTTTTGCAAGCAACGGAGATACTAAAGAGTCTGAACAGGAACCCGCCCATTCATTGAGACCCTCGGGACCTTGCAGCAAGGTCTGTTTACCTAGTCACTGTCTTTTCTTTTTCCGCTCCGAGGAACTTGATTATTCCCGACAACGTGGCAAGAGAGTTGCCGAAACCCCCTTTCATATTCTTGTTATGTATACAGGGTGGACATAAAGTGGGGGTTTGTTTATTATGTTTTTTATGTTGTAAATTGGACCCCCTTTGTTTTTTCTTTATAATCATGTGTCATTTATATTTACGATGTCGAGACTTAGCGTTGCGCCTTGTTTTAATTTAATATTCTTCTTTTTTTTTGTACTGGACTTTTTTTTTAAAACTCTTTTCTAGAAATAATGAAGACTACATCTTTATTATTAAAAAAATAATATTAATAAACAAAAATATAAGATTTTCGATTGATGAAGGAGGCGAGTGGTGAAAACAGAAAACCTTTCTTCCTTTATTTATATTTTTCTCGGTGGTTATTTTAAAACTTTATTTTCTAGATTTACCTACGCGCCTTATTAAAGAACTGTGAAATTAAATAAAATAGAAACCTGAAATATTTTTTTAATTATTACGAATCCATTTCAGAGAGTTAATTAAAGAAGTCTTAGGGAAATAAATAAAAACTTCCCTTTTTTGTCTTTTTACACAATTCAATTAATAAAGTCCTCCTTTCTTCATGCCATATTTTAACTTTTTTTTTTTTTTTTAAGACATTGATATTTTCCTTTTAAGAAAATGTGTATAAAAAAATTCTACAATCGTTAATCAACTCAGTATTTTTAATTTTTTCTTGTTTAATTTAAGAGTTGAACCACCCCCCATTTTTTTAATTTTTTTTTTATTTTTTGTGAGAATTCTTTTAAAAAAAGCCTCTTTTATTTTATTTTTCACTTTGACATGGATTGCTTCCTGCTGGCTTTACCTTTTTAATTTAATTTTTTTTAAACTAGTAACTTACTTCCTCATTTCTTCGTGACTTGCTTCTGCTTACAAAAAGAGATTTATCTTAAAAAAAAAAAAAAAATTTACAAATTTTTTTAGTGGTATATTTCACTTTTTAAAATATTTCTCAAAAAAAATTATCAAAAAAAAAAAATTATCAAATTATCCACGAGATCGATTAGGCTGAAGAATTCTTCATGGCATCATTATTGAGACCAATGAGGGGTTTCTTGGACGATCCGAATCTCCTTTTTTTAAACAAGTTACATTTGTCTTCTAAAATTAAGAAAAAAGAAGTCATTATTTATAGTTTATTCATTGTTTTGTGTTATTCATATTTTTTTTTAAAGGATAATGGGGGTGCGCACCCCTTCTGGTAACGTGCGACAGGTCATCTGTAAGATTTTGCCAAACTGAAGAGAAAAGTTTAGTGACTAAGACTAAAAAAAGTAACATGTTTAGTAGAGAAATTAAATGAAAATTTCATTATTTTCATTTATTTCTGTAACATTAACATGTTACTTTTCGTTTTTTTTTTTTTGTTTAAACGTTTTTAATAACTTATTTATTCTAAAAATATTTGACAATTTTTGTCTTAAAAGAACTTTTTTTAAAATATTTTTTTAGTTTTTAGAATGTTTTAAGTATTTATGTACTTTTTACAGAGTAATTCTTTCCATTTGTTATCGTTCGTTATGGAACATTGTACTGCAAGATTAACTTTTTATTCTAAATTCTTGAACGGAGGCAAGTGCTTTCTTTTTATTATTCGTTTGCAAAAAAAAAAAAAAAAAAATTCCGGCAGATAATATATTTTTATTTTTATTTTTTTTTTATTGTTGCTGTTAAAGATCCTAATGTTTTCCATGTTTATTATTGTTTTCTTTCTCCAGAATCTTTTAGTTTTATTTGAATAGCCGAAATTATACAAAGAAATAAACAAGACGAATTATGCCACTACTTTTTCTTTCTTCCCTTATTTTTTTATTTTTTAAACCACAGCAAATTATCTTAAATTGAACACTGCTTCATTAACCTCCCTTTCCTCAAATCTTTATTTAAATATTTTTTCCTATTAATTAAATTCTTCTGGACTATGAGCGATGCACAACATCAAGAAAATATTTGTATTTCTTATCAATATCGTACCGAAAAAAAAAAAAGCCTAATTTTTACCCAAGTAAAATTTTGAAACAAAAAAAAAAAAAATTATTTAAACTAACGTCTCGACCACTTACGCTGGTCGAGAGGCTTGTAGTACTGTAAAAAACACCCAATTACTCATATCTCGGTAACTGTGTGTACTAGTAACACACACACACACACACACACACACACACACCTCGCCAGCTGATGGGAGAGGGGTGCGTTAAAGCCGAGTGTCCGTAAATGGGAAGGGATTATAAGACCTCTATAGTAGTTATGATCATAAATGTAAATAAACGCACATATATATATATATATATATATATATATATATATATATATATACTGTACAGCAGATGGTATAATCATACATGCAATGCATTGCTGACGATTTGGAAATTTTTTTTTGTAGAATTTATTTTATTTCGCCTGCAGATTTTGTCTGTTGCATCTGCTGAAGTCTGTTGATAGATGGATCTGTAAATGAGGTGTGTATATATATATATATATATGTCCTGCTATTTACCCATAGATGGGGAGAGAAGAGGATTCATACCTTTTAAGAGTGTTAGCATGTAAGTGAATGCAATGGATTTGACTGGAATTCGAACTCGGCTCTCTCGTTCCTTAATCCAGGCTGCTATCCATTACTCCACTGTACGAAATCATAAAAACACAAACCAAGCTTTCCTCTCCAACATTTTATATCCCAAATCCTTGCTCCTGTTTATCAATTAACTAAAATCATTAACCAATTCATTCACTATACATCCCCAGCAATCAATACAGCATCAAATTAATTCTTGAATTAATCCAAATCTTAAATACGTAAAATCCCGATAATGAAACTGTAGCGTCACTTGATATTGAAAATTTATTCATCAATGTCCCAGTTAGAGAAACAATTGACATAATTATAAACAATATACACAATGATCTATCTCCATTAAAAATTAGACCCAACATATTACGGAAATTACTTGTACTACAAAGTTGCATTCTTTGACCATGAAAACAATATATATGTACAACGTGATTGTGTTTCCATGGGCTCAGTCCTAGGTCCAACTTTTAGTAACTTTTATATGGCTAACCTTGAAAATAATATTTAGTAATTTTAAAAAACCGTCATCTACCTTGGATATGTTGACAATATTCTCATCTTATTAAAAAAAAAACATTGATGAAATACATGAACTACACTAAGAATTAAAAAAAAAAAAAAAACCCCAAAAACTGTCTTTAAGTTCACATATAAACAACCCTATGGCTGAGATATGTAGATGACACTTAATACTCTGGCTACACCACGAAGTGGTTTATCTACTGCTGGACCATGTGAACTCAATACACATAATGGAGAGAGAAAACGATAACGAGCTTGCATTCCTTGATGTACTAATATTAGAACTAGTACAATCTACACCTGTAGATGAAATAAAGTTTGAAATTCCAATCACCTGAAGAAGCAAACAACAGCCAAAATGTGACTATGACAATAAAGATGAGGACAACAGTCCAAACAATGTAAATAATTAAACAAACCCTTATTAATATGAACAAATAAGGTGATCTATTACAAATTTTAATATAAATTACATAGAGCATAATGTCCTCAAATAAACTGAAATACCTCAATCTTCTATATCTTAATCAGATGCATTCTAAATATAAACAAGCTGCAAAAAAAAAAATCCTAAAAGATAAACTCATTAACACTGATATATCCCCCACACATCCCAGTAAAAAAAAAATAATCATATACTATGCCAAATTTAATACAACTTTCTGTAATAACTCTTCCCCCACCATCTGACATATTGTAGAAAACCAATACTGTATATTAATTCCAACAAAAAGGCTAATGTATAAATTGGTCATTCTACAATAATACTATCAAGGCAGCTCATTCTACACATGAATGATTTTTTTCCTCTATTGCACAACATCTGCAAAAACACTCCTGTCCATATTCAAAATTTAGAAGTATATTAGTTGACCATACCTGTATACTTCAAGAATACAATACACAGAAACTACAAATTCTCAAAGACATTTATATTAAAAAAAAATTAAAACCAACACTTAACAAAATTATGAATGTTGAAATGTTACAAATATTCTGAAATATTTATCATATATAGTTTTTAGAAATATCTGCATTAAAACTAAACAGTTTTTTGAAAAAGAACATGCAAACTGTAACCTACCACAAGAACTCTTTTTTTTTTTTTTTTTTTTTTTTTTTTTTTTTTTTTAACTAAGTTATCTCCCCTACATTATAATATTTACAATAAGAAAAAATTTCAAAAATCCCCTCTAGTGATTTTGTGCATGACTGGAATCATTAACTGTTTAACCACAAAGACAGAAATTTACTTCTGACATGCAACTAATTGTCCTGGCCATCATAACCCTGAAAATGATATTGTGAATATATCGAAAGTACTTGGAAAAATAAAATAAATACAACCATAGCACCTTCCCTGCACTCTTAAATCATGAAACAACAAAACTTATACATAATTACGAAAAGATCTTATTGAAAATAAACAAACATTAAACTAAATTGTTTAATCAGACATGCTTCTTTATTTATATATATATATATATATATATATATATACACACACACACACTAAACTCTCCTAGTAACAGAAATCTAACATTTTTGATAACCTAGTAAAGAAATGAAGATTTAGCAATATATCTAATTAGTGAAGATTGTTACTTTTTATGTACATTTGGACTAATGTCCTCATATTTTGTTCTTATTATAGTAATGTTTCAGCTGTTGTGTTCTCTGGCCTTCTTCAATCTCTA